TGATGCACGAGGAAGAATTGGTTAGACATATAAAAGAGAAAGGTCCTATGCATATCAAAAGGCTTTATAATGTTTTGCTAGAAAGGGATTCAGAAACTGAATTAGTTAAAGATTGTATGATTAAGTGGACACAAAATTTTGAAGAACCAGTGATGTTGGAAACATGGGAAAAAATTTGGGTTCAGAATGTTAAATTTACACAGTCGCAGAACCTGAGGGAAAATTTCTATAAAATGTTTTATAGATGGCATTTAGATCCCAAAAAGTTGTCATGTATGTACCCTAATGTTCAGCCAAAATGTTGGAGATGTGAATGTTTGGATGCTACGTATTATCATGTTTGGTGGACCTGTAGGAAAGTTAAGGCTTTTTGGATAAAAATTTGGTGGGTCATGCAGAATGTCTTGAAGAAAAAAATTCAATTCTCTCCACAATTGTTTTTATTGGGTATAGTTAAGGGTTTTACATCGGGTGAAACAAAATTGATATTGTATATGATAACAGCAGCAAGATTGTTGATAGGTAAATATTGGAAAAATGAAGCTTTGCCCACTATTGAGGAATGGACTTTGAAGATGGCCAGTTTTGCAGAGATGGCGAAGATTTCAGCATACTTAAAAGATTGTTCACAAGAGACTTATGAATGGGAATGGAAAAGGTGGATAGAATATGTTCAGAACAAATATCAAACTAGAAAATATCAAATAGCTTTTATTTGAAAATAATGTATTAGAAATATTTTAATGTAATGAGGGTAAAAAGAAAAACTATACAGGGGAGGGAGGGGTTCAAGTTTTTACATAAGTGTCATATTAAGGGTTTTTTTTGTGTGTTTTTTTATCTTTCTTTACCAGTTATGAGTATATTATAGGGAAGTCTGGGGGGAGGGGAGGGTTAGGGAGGGTTAGGGAGGTTGGGAAGTCTGGGGGGGGTGGTGGTGGGGGAAAAGGGGTGAAAATGTAATTGTAAAACTTTTGCAATAAAAAAAAAAGAACAAAAGGCACAGATTATTATTAATGGAAGTTTGACAACAGACTTTAATATTGAAAAAGGAACAAGACAAGGTTGTCCGTTATCCCCATTGTTATTTATTTTAACATTAGAAGTCTTGTTGAATACAATACGGGACTCGAGTATCTTGAAAGGAATAGTGATAAGGCAAGAGGATTACAGAATAAGGGCATTTGCAGATGATCTGGTTGTTACCCTAACACAGCCGATGGAATCAATAATCCAGATGAAAGACATTATAAAAGACTATGGTACAGTATCAGGATTTAGACTGAACCAGAAAAAAACTAAGATGATACTTAAAAATATGACACAAGATCGAAAACACGAACTTGAAAGCAAGGCAGGTTTTGAGATAGTACCAAAGGTTAAATATCTAGGAGTTCAGGTTGCAGAATCAAATATGAAACTGTTTCAAAATAATTATGAGGTGTTGTGGTGAGATGTACAGAAAGATATGGAGACTTGGAAAAAACTGCAGCTGTCCTTACTTGGAAGAATAGCAGCAGTTAAGATGAACATTTTGCCAAGATTTCTTTTTTTGTTTCAAATGATTCCGGTGCTTAATAGTGATAAACAGCTGAAAGAATGGCAAAGTGGACTGAATAAGTTTGTCTGGAATGAGAAAAAACCAAGAGTGAAACTGAAAATTATGCAAGATGTTCCAGAAAGGGGAGGTCTTAAACTTCCAAACCTACAATTATATTATGAAGCAGCAGCTTTGATTCAAGCAAGTGATTGGTTTGGAAGGAAAAAGACTGGAATATTGAATATAGAAAGTTTTGATCTTGAATTTGGTTGGCATGCCTACTTATTTTATGAGAACAAAGTGGATAAAGTATTTAAAAGCCACATACTTAGAGACTCCTTGATGAGAGTTTGGAAGAAGCACCGACTCAAATGGGATTACAAAATACTGTTATGGCTGGATCTTGGTCATATCATGTGGAATACAAATATAATGTCACTCGGGGGGGGGGGGGGTTATATAAAGAAGTTCTTTTTGCAGATGCGGGCAGATGGCAACTGAAGACTTTAGAAACGCTGTTGGCAGAAGGGATTAATTTAACTTGGTTACAGTATAATCAACTTCAATTGAGATGGAAAGAGGACCAAAAAATTGGTATAATGATGCATGAGGAAGAATTGGTTAGACATATAAAAGAGAAAGGTCCAATGCATATTAAAAGGCTTTATAATGTTTTGTTAGAAAGGGATTCAGAAACTGAATTGGTTAAAGACTGCATGATTAAGTGGGCACAAAATTTTGCAGAACCAGTGATGTTGGAAACATGGGAAAAAATATGGGTTCAGAATGTTAAATTTACACAGTCACAGAATTTGAGGGAAAATTTTTATAAAATGTTTTATAGATGGCATTTAGATCCTAAGAAATTGTCGTGCATGTACCCTAATGTTCAACCAAAATGTTGGAGATGTGATTGCTTAGATGCCACATATTATCATGTGTGGTGGACTTGTAAGAAAGTGAGGGCTTTTTGGATAAAAATTTGGTGGGTTATGCAGAATGTTTTGAAGAAAAAAATTCAGTTTTCTCCACAATTGTTTTTATTGGGTATAGTTAAGGGTTTTACATTGGGTGAAACAAAGTTGATATTGTATATGATAACAGCAGCGAGATTACTGATAGGTCAATATTGGAAAAATGAAGCTATGCCTACTATTGAGGAATGGACTTTGAAGATGGCCAGCTTTGCAGAGATGGCGAAGACTTCAGCATATTTAAAAGATCGCTCACAAGAGACTTATGAATGGGAATGGAAAAAGTGGATAGATTATGTGCAGAATAAATATCAAACTAGGAAGTATCAGATAGCTTTTAACTGAAAGCATTATATAAAGATAGAAATATTTGAATTTTGTGAAGATGTTAAAAATATATAGGGGGTTCAAGTTTTATAAAAAGGGGATTTTGATTTGGATTATATTCTGTGGAAGTCTGGGGGGGAGGGGTGGGTTAGGGGGGGTTAGGGAGGGTTAGGGAGGTTAGGGAGGATTGGGGGGGAAATGGGGAGAAAATGTAATTGTAAAACTTTTCCAATAAAAAAAGAAAGAAAAACAAAAAGTAAAGTAAATCACCACGTCTCTAGGCAACTGCCTTTGCTTTGCAACCCAAGAATTTATTCTGTAGGCCTTATCAATCTTGCAGGATACCTCTTCAGGAGTAACCTTTAAAATCACAGCCAGAACTTCAGCAGACATCTTTCTCAAGTCATCTCTGTCATTTTCCTGTATTCCCCTCATTCTGACTGCAAATTCCATGGACCTATATTGCATCATTGTAACTTCTTTTTCAATCCTTTGTTTTATATTATCTGCATTGTAGGTCTTGTGGTCAGCTTCCTTTATTTTAGACTTTACTTCTGAGCTATTTTCTTGAATATTTATCAAACCATTTTCAATTCTTTGTATTTTATTGTCCAGATTATAAATCTTATAATCAGCTTCCTTCATTTTAGACTCTATTTCTAAGTTGGTATCTTTATCCATCTTTATAACTATTTCTGAAAAGCTTTTCAAAGCTGTTACAATCTGTTGTTTCAGATTATCATACTTTCACTGTACCAACTCTTTAATTTCCTGCCTGAATTTTTCAAGATTCTGGTTCACAATCTCATCATGTCTTGCCATCTCCTCCAAAACAAATTCCTTTAGGTCTTTAAAGCCATTCTTCTGAGTCTGCAAGCTCAAAACTTGCTCATATGATTTGTAAATGGGGGAACTCCCCCCTGCAGCTTGGTTGTCTGGTTTTGTCAGTTTTAACGCCATCCTGCCACACAAACAAACTCTTTTTAAGAAAAAAGACTTTTCTCCAAACGATATCAATATCAAGCCTCTAAGAAGGAAGAAACATGAAATAGAAATTTTTCTCTTCAATTCTAGCCAGCGCTATTGTTTCAGATACTTTGTAATGTATTAAACTATTCAAACGGAAGGACTTTCGCTTTCAGCTTTCTTCTTCTCAAGCCTCAGCCAGTCGCCATTTTAAACTTTCTTTCTTCGCTTTTAAAATCACTCATAGGATTGTTAGAAATACTTGCGATTTAGGGTCCCAAATCCGGGTTTTATCCTTTTTGTTCAGACAATCTGTTAGATTTCGTTGATTGGATTGGTCCCATCGCCTGGCTCTGCAAAAAGCAGAGTTCCCCCGATGCCCGGAGCAGCGGCGAGCCGAATAGGGAGCCACATTCTGCTTCCTCCTCAAGAGTAAAAAAAGACTCTGGGGAGTTCACAGAGGGCTCTACCTGTTCTCGCTGGCTCTATCTCACATCTCCTCAAGGAGACGGAGTTTTTTGAGCCGTCTCTCAGCTGTAGAGACGGCTCTTTACGGGCGACGAGGCTGGCAGTCCCGAAAGACCGTCTGGCAGCGACGGAAACCAAACCGGAAGCCCACTAGTGACCTTTTAACATACTGTCTGTCTTCCCAATATGACTTAGTTATGCAGACAACCTAGTTTTAGATTCAAACCAAATACATTGTCCACATTTGCCTGAAAATAAGTATAGCAATTTCTCACTCTTTCCATGGACTCCTTTATTCACCTGAATGAGAAGTGCTAGAAGAGATAGGACTTCAAGGTGTATTAGAGTATCCAACCTCCTTTCTTCTCCCTGCCTGTGATAGAAAGGACCCTTTGCCTTGAGGGGGGAGCCAATTTTGGTGGACTACAGATAGTTCCCTCCCCCGGTAGCCTTTCCAGAGGCCCTCATGAAAGATGAACATCTAAAACAGAAGTGAATTCACAACAGATACACTGAATTTTAGTGAGACTGAAAATAATAAAACAGGCAGCTCTGGAAAGAAACTTAATGTTTAATAATGTATTGTTGAAGAAAGGAGAACACCTTCTACACTGAAAGTGTAGGTAAAGAAATGTAGGTCTCTCTGTCTGTCTCTCTGTCTCTCTCTCTCATAGTCATTTGAATCTTCTGCCCCCAATCCCTCTTAAAGAATTGCACAATATCTGCAATGCTCATATAGCTTTATTTCAAGAAATATTTGCCAATTTTTTTTAAAAAATGCATAAATGTTTTAGAGTTTGCTAGATAGCAATTTTATTTATATAAAGAAAGATAAAGCAGTAGCAGGTAGTAATGTTGGGTCATTGGCCAGATCTTCAAGATATCCATGGTGGAAGTTGGAGATGGCATTATTTTCCATATCTGTACAAATGAAATAAAATAATAGTTGTTCAAAGTGGATTTAAGGTATTTTCTGCCACATGAATCACAAAATGATTCTCTTCTGCCCTTATTTTTACATGGTATTTTCCTCAAAATCCTTTTCCTCAAAACATCAAGGCTTTGCAATGCTTTATGAATGCAAACAATACCAGGCAGAATATCTGTATTAGAGGAGATTTTTCTCACCCTGGACAGCACCACCAACTTCGTGGACAATTAACACTCCTAATACAGCCCCGGCTCCAACGGGAAGTGCAAAATCCTCTCACTGCTCCTACACGGCAGTTTTGGCCAGCAATTCCTATGAAAAAAAAGAGGAAAAATGTAAATGATGAGTAAAGATACCTTGCTATTTAGATGCTTTTTTCTTCCACCACCTTCTTTTGCAGAATTGCTGGATTCCTATGAGTTCCCTTTAAATGGAAAAATCAATTTCTGCTCATCTCCCTATAGGAGCCCAAATAAATCCAGTATGAACCCAAGGTTGAAGTCTTGCTTTGATTTGCCTGGTTTCTGTATCTACAGTATTAAGGTAGTACGGGGAAAAAATCTGCTTCATACCAAGGGAAGACCTTGCTGTGATATCCTGTATTTCTCTCCATGATTACAATGGATCCTTGCTTTCTAGGAAATAATGGTGAGTTACAGTGGCTGGTTCTGCTGGGTGAAAAACTTGAGTGAGAAGGGTTAATTTCCTTTAAACTTCAGGACCTGGTTTTCCTTTGGGTTTCTCCGTCTTCTCTTAATGTTTCTATCGCTCTCTTTTCTGATCTTGAAAAGCTATGCATTTGAGACATTTTGCTTCAATTTCTTCTCTTTTTCTCCATATTAAGTACAGACAAATTCAGTAGATGATTAATATTTATTTATTATTTTTATCCCATCTCTATTTTTTTTAAAAATAACTCAAGATGGTGAATGCATCTAGTACTCCTTCCTCCTCCTTTCCTCTCCACAAGATCAACCCTCTGCAGAGGTTCAGATTGAGAGAGAGAGAGACTGGTCCAAATTCAACCGGCCAGCTTTCATGCCTAAAGTGGGATTAGAACTCAGTCATGTGGTTTCTAGCCTTTGGCTTTAATCACTAGACCAAACTGGTTCTCTTGTGCCTCTTTATTCAAATAGGCCATGTTTTGTTGAGAATTTAGTAACACAAAACTAAAAGGAACCAAACCAATGAAAACAAGCTACAACAACAAAAGCCCCAGTGAGGTTTTGTTGAGAATAGTGAATCAGTGAATTAATTTTCCAGTCCATCCTTGATGCCTGATAATTTATAGGATCTCGAGTTTTAATGCAAAAGAAAAATTAATGGCATATTTTTCAAATATTTGGAGGCTCATGTTTTCAATACCCCATACTGGTCAATCTATTTCTTAAAAGTAAAACAAAAAGAATATGTTGAAGATTACCCTGCTTTCAGTGATGATCATACTTGCATAGAAAGTAGTGAGTTATCAATCTCTCTAAATTATGAGTAATTTTGTATCTTACCTGGTTCATACAGGAATGCAACAAAAAGGATTGCAAACAGCAAATTTAAGGATCTTCATGCTGGGTTTGTTTTCTGGACCAAATCTTACTCCTGGGACTGAAGACACTTCTCTATTTATAGCGTGTTGATGATTGCATCATGTTATGTTAGTGAAATATTGCAAATATTCTCAGTTATTATTTTTACTGTTCTTACATAAGGCATTGCTGCATCTTCCTTATATTGAAACGTTCCTGTGGCTTTGCTGTTGCAAAAGGCCTTGGAAGAGCAGGGGAGTGAGTTTAACAGCTAACCTGCTATTGTTGTAAAAGATTGGAGCCTCAGAACTTGCCACATTCCAATGGGAAAAATAAAAGTCTTGCTGAAATACTTCCCAAGGTCAGGCAAGAAAGATAATGCTCAGTTATATTCACTAATGGCTGGGAAGATCCCTTAGAACCAAATGTTAGAAATCTGGTATTGCCACTGCAGTCATGGGAGACATAATTTTTGGTTAAACAGCTGGATCTGCTTCTTGGTGGGTGTTTGTGTCACTCAGAAGCACAAACTAGAATTATGAGGAGTCCTGCAGGACACAGAAACTTAACTGAAATGAAGAAGGAGAGCTGAGTTCTACAAGCTGTGTATTCTTTGAGTATTAGGTATATTAGATGTTTTTTGCTGCTTCAGCCACAAAGGATTCCATGGGGTCATACTTCTTATTAGAAAGCATTAAACTTTACTTTTCTTCTGTCATGGTAAATGTCTAACTGTATTGCCACCCTGGATACCCGGCTCTGTAGGGGTTAACTAACCACATATCCCATCACTCCCATAGCCACTCCTTACCTTCTGGCCCCTCCTCTTGGGTATAATAGCTCTCACTACGAGGTATCTCAGTTGTTCCAGATGTGTACCTGAAAGAGAAAGGTCTAAGGTCAGTGACCTCTGGTCCCACAGGGCCTAGGATTCATCTAGGCCTGCAATAAAGGAATCCAATTGAGATAGAGAATTTGTCTGTGAGTTATTGGGCTAGATCCATCATCAAACAATATGGTAGCAGAGGATGGTTGCCCATAACTCCAAATGATGACTGAATCCAACGTTTGCCCTGAAGAAACAAACAGAGTACAGACAAGAGCACTCACCAAGAAGATGGCTGAACTACTGGCATCCAAGGGCACCACAGTGGAGGAAACGACAGCTGAGAGCGAGCAGGACTCCAGCCTCGATTCACAATCTGACGAGGAGAGGTCACCCGAAAAGACCACCACCCTGGAAGAAAAAACGACGCAGAAAATGAACAGATTTAAACTCTCCATCCTGATACTAATGGAGGCAAGCAACGACAAGGAAAACCTCATCACGGACCTTCAAAGCCTTCTCGAGCAGCAAGAAGCAGCGATCGAGGCCCTGAAGACACTCGAGGAAGAAACTCAACCAGAAAGGGGTAGGCCATCCCAGTCCGATGACCTCAAGCTGGCCGAACCCATTTTCGTGCCCTCTTCCCGGTGGCCATCTTGGGATGGGCCCCAACCAATGGGAAGCCAGGATTTGAATTCCCTGGGGCAAAAATTCCCGAACCCCGAAACAGACGAGGAGCACCCACAAAGCGACCACGAAGAGCATGCACCAACCGAAAAAAGATCGCCAACCGATCTCAAGGTGCAAAAAGCAATCAAGACCCTCACCGCCGTACTTGGCTCCGCTTTCGAGCCTCCCGCAGCACTCAAAAGCCGAAAAAGAAATCCTGGAAGCCATAAGAACATCAGGACAGCCAACAACGACCGGGCAACTGAATCACAGCCACCAAGAGAGACCGCGCACACCAACAAACAGCGCCAAAACCCGGCCACCTGCAGGAACACTCAACCTCAGGATTTGAACCCGCATCCGCAGCACCAACTACGCGAGACCCGAGGGCAAGGAGAAGAACCGGCTACTCACCCATCCCACGACCTCTGCCAGACCTCTTCGCATGACCGGGGACCGACGAACACGAGGCAGGACCCACCACTGCCACCCCTGCTGCGCCGCCGAACACAGGAGATCCCCTACGAGGTCGACCTACGACCTCCGCCACCGCTCCGCCGATCCACAGAAGTCCTCAACTTGCGACCGCTTCACCTCCTCACCTCCTTCCCTTCTTCGCCGGAGATCCAGCCATCCTACAATGGCATCCACCTTTCAGAGGAGACTCCGGACTCACCGGGGGTGAGTCCAGCCTTCCCCCGACAGGCCTAGGCCTAGGCCTGGGAGCTCCAGCAGCAGGACCTTCACTCGACGGACTCCAGCGCAAAATGGGCTTCACACATGCCCAGTCACTGCCTGCAACAAGAGAAGCAAGTTACATAGAGACAAGTAAATACAGACTAGCAACAGATATCCCAAAGCCATATTGCGAGTTCAATCACACAATGGACCATGGACAGCTCCCCCCAGTAAGTAACTTCCCTAACAATTCTGGAGAGAATTGTCACTTAAGGAGAGACTGCCCTAGAAACCACAGGGATAGGAAACACAATGACAACAGAGGAGGGCGATCACCTGAGCACAGGTACCCCAAAGAAAAGGGGTGAGGGTGGTCCCCCAACCCCAGGAGGCATCATGAACGCAGGGACAACTCTAGAGACAGTAACCTGGGTTCTATATATGGGCTCAGACACGATGACTCAGACACTAAACACAAGATAGGGAGAGACACGTGGCTTCTGGATTCAGGAGCCACAAATCACACAACTTGCAAGCCAAGGCTACTAGACTCACTCACAGAAGCTGACTTTGAATTAAAAGTAGCAAATCAAAGCAAAGTTCAAGTAGTAGGGAAGGGAAACACATACATTCCACAAATAGGAAAAATAGAGGGGGTACTGTACATGCCAGGGATACCCCACAATGTACTGGCTATTACCAAGCTGACACAGAACACAAACACTGAAGTAATGTTTAAGGATGGAAAGGCCTACATGATTAAGCAGGGGGAGGAGATAGGAAAGGTGACCATGCATGAGGGCCTACCCTACTTCACACCCAACACAAGAGAGGAAGAAAGCATTAATACTAGTACAGGCCACGAGGCAGATGAAAACACAGAAACAGAGGGGGTACATCAGGGGGCAGCCAAATGTAAACAAAATGTCAATAACTCTGTATCCATTGGGAAGCCATTGCATGATAACTGCGCCCACCTCCTTCACAGAAGACTGGGACACATCAGTTTTCCTATTGTAAAAAAAATGTCAGAGTGTACCGAAGGCCTCAAAGTAAAGAACTGTGAAAATTACCTGGAGTGTTAAATCTGTAAGTGTTCAAAGATTAGAGTTAAGGCCATACCCAAAAGGTCAAAACGAACCATCGGGTCCCCCTTCCAATTAGTACATATGGACTTGGTAGGGCCATTGAACCCATCTGTCGGGCATAGGAAGTGATTCTTCCTCACCATTGTGGATGACTTTACCAGATATGGGTATGTTTACTCTCTCAGACACAAAAACGAGGTGTTCCAAAGATTTAAAGAGTTCCACAAAAGAATAGAAATGCAACACAATATGAAAATAAGGCAAATAATGATAGACAGGGGCTCGGAGTTTATGGCCAAGGAATTCACAAGGTGGCTGAGGGAGCAGGGCATAGCGCACTACACTTCTTCGCCGTTCTCGCCCTTCCAGAACGGGGTCGTAGAGAGAAAAAACTGAGTGTTACAAACGATGATGGAGGATTGGAGGATGCTGAGATGGGGCAGCATTTTTGGTCAGAAGCATTGCACTACTCCAATTACACTCTAAATAGACTGTGGTCAAGCTCCATCAATAAGATCCCATACGAGATGCTATATAACAGAAAGCCCAACATTGCATACCTGCACATATTCGGCACCCCAGCTGATGTCCACATCCCCAGACAACTGAAAAAGAAGGGAGAGAAAATATCAAAGAGCAGTCGTGGGTTACGAACCAGGCACTAAGGGCTACAGGTTCATCATCAACAACAACAGGTTTGTCGTATCCAGGTCTGCTGATTTTCACGAAAACGCAAACTGGTCGAGGGTCCACTCCGACGACATCCTCGCCAATAGAAACACACTCGAACATGGTCAGCGGGAAAAGAAGGTGGAAGCACACAAAACCAACCACCATAAAGTAAACACCAAAGAGTGGAAAGAAGGGCATCCCTCTCTGAAGCTAGATAACCTGACAAACAAAGAGGGAGGCAACATGCAAGAGACCGAGCCAACCCCCAGTAGACCAATCAGAGAGAACAGGAATAAGCTACCAAAGAGGCTGGAAGATTACATCATGACCATAACAACCACACCACACCCAATTCATATGAGGACATACTTGGCCTTCCCCAGGAAGAGAGAGAGAAATGGATATCAGCCATGGAGAGGAAGAGGGAGAGCCTCAGGAACCTGCAAGTGTATTCGCCTGCTCAAGCTCCAGAGAACAAAAAGCCGATAGGAACCAAATGGGTGTTCAGGGTCAAGACACTAGAGGACAACAAGGCCCTGTACAAGGCGAGGCTGGTTGCGCAGGGTTTCGCCCAAAGATACCCCGAAGATTACACCGACACCTACTCGCCTACTGTCAGGGCCGAAAGTGTCAAAAGTGCCCTGGTGGTGGCCACCATCCTAGGGCTGGAAGTATTCCAATTCGATGTACAAACTGCGTACCTTCACGCTGAATTGGATAAAGAGATATACATCAAAGCACCACCCGGATATAACAAAGGGGAGAACAAGACTTGGCTGCTGAATAAAAGCCTATATGGACTCAAACAGTCAGGCAAGAGGTGGTATGATTGCCTAGCCAAGGCTCTCAGATCCATGGGCTTTGAAGCCACCTCAGCCAACAAATGCCTTTTTACAAAGAAAGATAATAACTCATTCGAAGGTGTACTCGTTTACATGGACGACATCTTGTACATAGGCAAGCATAAGGACAGATGTGACAAATTCGCCACTGAACTGGGTAGCCACTTCTCCTTGAAATCGCTAGGCAAAATCGATAAGTATCTAGGAGTTCACGTGATAAAAACTGATAAAGGGTTTCACCTTTCCCAGAAAGAAAAAATCATCGAGTTACTATCAAAATGTAACATGCCTGA